TTAAATCTCCCAAATCGGACAAGAAACAAACGCGTAAGACGCGTTTACGTCGTATAAAAAAATATCCGGTTTTTTTTTGTTACACACTGTATGTAAATCGGTTGCAATAATGCTTTTCCCTCACGTTCGAACATATGACATATCTCAGTCTTGATCAATCACACAATTACACGCATTATTGACTAGGAGGAGTTTAGGTTGCCGTGAATATGTCATTTGATATGGATGAAAGGAGTCGTAAGCTTTCGATCCGTGATCCTTCCAGCCTTGAGTCAGTAGCATACTTGATACAGATATTTCAACGCACGTGTATTGTAACATTAAACTCGTAATTTATTTGAAATGATTATCTAAACTGCGTCTGTTGCCAATTACTATTATTGTTGGAACATTAAACAACGACTGAAAGGGACGAGATTTGCTATACATTCTGGGATATCTGTTTGAAACAATCAGGCCAACTTTGCCTCAAATTCATCACTCAAAGTGCTCCGACCAGGCCATGTCAAAAGGTGCTTTGTGGATTGGTGCCTTGTTGTTATACGGTATTGCTTTTCCATGGTGCTCCAACTTACTCATTCATTTTCCACCCTTGGTTGGAGTATTTTGCTCAGCTACAGTTGTGATCAGCTGTGATGGTGGAGTACTGGGCCTAGCTGTCTCAACCATTACTGTTTCTTCAGGTTGACCAACGTATTTTTTCTTCGCGTTGTCCACTCTACGATCATTTGTGACCTCGCTTCTTGGAGTCTTCGCTTGATCATATCTTTTAATGCCGTGCAACTGAGCAGAATCCTGATAAGCAAGCGGTGAACTGGGTTTCAGCGAGTTTCTAGTATCTGTATGCGATTGATTGGATGACAATCATCTCGTTTCTCCTGGCATGCGTGAACGTGAATGGGAGAAGGGGCTTACTCTTGGCATATCCGGTATTCCCGACATGTTGTCGTCGTCAGGTTTATCTCGTGATCCGTGAACAAACGCCAAGAGTTTTTGTCATCTCTATTTTGCGGTTCGACGTCAAGTTTGTTTGTAATTCCTCTACCGAAACCGTATGCGCTTCAATCGTTTACGTCGTTTGTTTTGAGATAATCTGTTGGGTTAGAATTTCGTGCCAGTTTCAGAAAATTCTGGAATGGGTATTCGTAATTTACCTATTGGAGGATCAGAAATGGGATATATGTTATAGAAAACGCGTTCCTTACGTTCAATTGTGCATCTATAACTCTACGGGGGAAAGCTTCAAAAAGCGAACGAAACTATTCAAGATCTTAACAGCCAAAGAAGTTTGATATCTTATATTTAGGGACAGGCGCGACTAAATATTTATGTTACACATACAGTACATCGTGGTTTTCGATTGGGATAATTCCATTTATTTGGGACCATCATTCACTGAATCTTGACTTTAAGTATTACAACCTGAGCTACAGACCCTGCCTTCACTGGCCAGTTTGTGCAAGAATTGCCAACAACAAAAGTACTATTTCCACTAGATCATCAACATTGTCACAAATCTTGGATAGTTACTTAATACTGTAGCCTTTACAACTATGTGTTGGATGCGACCTCCCCAACAGCAGAAACCAAATCTAGAAAAAGCTCTGGTGAGAATGCAGTAAACGACAATCAGTCAGTGTCTGGCCACATCATATGGCTCAAACGGATGGCTGGAAAATTTCAAGAACCGAATTCACATTAAAGAATAGGAGAGGAAAACAGTACACCATTGGAAGATCTAGAGAATTACCGGCAGAACTAAGAGAAATCACTTCTGCTTACGAATTGTGCAACATTTTAATGCTGATGAAACCGTACTATGTTGGCGAATGGAGCCAACACGAACCTTATCAACTCGGCCTGTTTCTGGCACGAAAAAGTCTAAAGAACTTCGCAGCGGGTGAGGAAAAATTCCCGCCTCTCTCTATTCACAAGTTCGAAAACCCTCGCCCAATCAAAAATATCGAAAAATCAAGTTTACTAGTTTAATATTACTGGAATAAAAAAGCGTGGATGCAAAGCTCCATCTTTAACCATTATTTTAACAGAATAAATTCCCTCATGCAACGGCAGAAACAAAATATTCTTTTGCTCGTCGATAATGCTGCTTGTCACTCACTCTACAAAGATACCACATTGTCTAACATCACGGTACATTATCTTCCCCCTAATACTACGGCTCACTTGCAACCGCGCGATGCCGGAATTATTTATAGTTTTAAGGTAATTTTATTATTTTCGAAATTCTTTATCTATAAACTCACTCTAACTCATTATGTCAGACTCAGTATCGCAAACTATTCTGCCAATCTCGAATGGCTGCCTCTACGACGAAGCAGTATCCACAAAATCTTATCTCACCTTCCATGCCGAAGTCATTTAATATCAAAGATGCTATCAATTGGGACAAGACCGGTCAATGAATTTATTGATTTACCTGATGATAACGAAACGGACTTGCAATCTCTTTTAAATCAGTTACCAAATATCTTTCCTTCAGAAGCTAGACAAACTTTTGATCAGATTACTCTAGTGATACGAAATTGGTATTGCGTAATTTACGCAAAATGTAGTCCAATATAACCAAATATTTTCATAAAACTCTGTATCTTAATATTAAACAGCCCGTCGATTTTTTGACTATGTAATTATAATGAACAATTTGAACACATGACTGCCGCTAATTTTCGCGTTTCAAAATAATAATAACAGAGGTCTCACAAGATGCAATTACCCAATCGAAACCCCCGTGTAACATGAATATTTAGTCGCGCCTGTATTGTTGTCCCCCTAAAAATATCTCGCTTCACACCTTCGACTCTTAATAATAGTCGGTTAACTTACGACCAAACCAGCCTATTTTAATATCCATGAATAAGACTTCCGTCAAAAACGAAGGCCTGCTGATCCATGACTCAGGGGCGCTTGATGCAAAGAGGCCAAGACACGTACCATTAAGGAATATAAAGAATCGTCTTAATTCAGAAAATTCTGTCAGCCAAAGAATGGGTATTCGTAAAGGTCAGAATTTATCTATTAGAGAATCAGAAAAGGTGCGTCACGGAGACATATGTCAATAGAAACGTGTTTCTTACGTTCAACTGTGCATCTATAACAGTGTTTTCACTGCCAGAATATGCCATTTATTTCTTTTTATTTTATTTTCTTTTTTACTCTTACTCTACTATATTATAATTCAGTTGGTGTCGGACTTAAAGAAACAGAACTTTGACCTAAAACTGCAGCTGTTTCATCTAACTGATAAATCGAATCTTGCCCAAAAGGTATGTCCATATTTTTTGTGGTGATTGATTATGACAAACACGAAGCCAAGACGCCGCAATATACAAGCTATAAATTAAACATACTCTGTCGAAAGACTTGCACGTTTCGATTTTTGGTTTCCTTGATAAATACACCCGACTTCAGTTACTTATCCTTTTTATTTTTGATAGAACGTCGAGCTGCGAAGGGAAATAGAGGATCTACGAGATAAGCTTCAAAAAGCGAACGAAACTATTCAAGATCTTAAAAACACGATACAAAATTCGACAACCAAAGGAAAATGGACACAAAATTCTAACCCAACAGATGATCTCAAAACAAACGACGTAACATCAAGTCAAACAATTAAAGCACATACGGCTCCGATGGAGGAATTACAAACAAACTTGATGTCGAACCGCAAAAGTGCTGTCGTTAATGATGACAAAAACTCTTGGCGTTTGTTTGCAGATCATGAGATAAACCTGGACGACGATAACATATCGGGAATACTGGATATGCCAAGAGTAAGCCCCCTGTTGCGACGATCCCATTCACGTTCACGCATGCCAGGAGAAACGAGAGGCTTGTCATCCAATCAATCGCATACGGATACTAGAAACTCGCCGAAACCCAGTTCACCGCTTGCTTATCAGGATTCTGCTCAGTTGCACGGCATTAAAAGATATGATCAAGCGAAGACTTCAGGAAGCGAGGTCACAAATGATCGTAGAGTGGACAACGCAATGAAAAATATAACAACAAAGTTGGACACCATTAATAAGGAAACGAATATCTTTTACAATCCTGCAGTCCCAAGTAGCGAGCACACTCGCTCCTCCAAAATATCTAAAGATTTGCCTATTAATGTTTCGAGAAATAATAGGACTGATTCGAGATTAACAAGCGCTATGGAACTTACTGATCCTTCTCCAATATCCAATTCGATGCAGTTTACTCCGGTTACAACGTATAACGTAAGGACTAGTACTGGCCCAAAGCTGGCGCAAGGGGGGTTAGACAGCTCCAAGACTCCAATAACTTCATCACCGGGTTCAAAGAAAAGAAACTTCCAGACAACTCCTTGGCCTAATACGTCTGTTCCGCTAACACCTGCCGAATTTTATGCTAAACTGTCTAATACCGGAAATGCAAAGATTCAGAAAAAGGTCCAAAAAGATTCAGATTCAAAATCTAATTCGACGGCGAAAACCGCCACGACTTCATTGGACAATGGTACGGATTCGAATCGGTCATTGCGCGATCGGCTCAAGCGGTTTGAAAGCAGCAAACGAAAACCGGTATTGGGGAAAAAATTGTACAGTGGTACACGATACGGTTAACGTGTCTGTACATGCTTGAATTACTGTTTTTGCGATAGTAACGGTAAATTTTGGGCTTTATGTTAGCTCTGATTTCGTTTCATGTATATATAACTATACTCAATGATTCTTTATTTATAAATCATACGAACTGAGCACCATTTATATCAAGTCGATTGTTAAGACTTTCTTCACTTATGCATAACAGCCAGGAGCTATCAACGCATAGTCTGGTTAAATTCGTCCGTAATAGATGACTATGACTTGTGAAACTGAGCCGAATACGATAGCTTATTCCAGGTAGTTGTAGGTCTGCCATCACAGTGATCGGAGTTTGAGCCTAAATCCAAACAGATGCTCGTGAACACCCTGGAGGAAGTTCAATGTGGATAGACAAAGAGGAAAGGCTTGTAGGAAGCGAGACATTTTCATGTTAAGCTCTATCATTAGTTTAATTCTCTATTGTTCTATTGTTCAGTATTTATGCACGCGATTACTCGATCCAAACATTGCAGCTATAATAATAATCCCTTTCCTGAAGGAGAGAGGGATAATTTATGTAAATACGTTAAATAGAATAAGATTCCATGGCCGTTTTGCTGTCGATGTTCTCATTGTAATAAATTCTCGTGATCCAATTCAAAATGATTTAGTAGGAAGAAAAGGTCATCATCTGACACTTTTTGAATGAGCAAACCGATGGTGTGAGGGTCTCCCAATACAGAGAATTTTATAATTAGCCAAAAAAGAGTTTCGATAAGGGAAATTCATTGTTCCCGTTTTTCCTGATAATTAATTACTATGTATATTAGACAGAGGCAGTGGCATCCAGGGCTGGTTATAACCTGGCACTGAGTGTGTGGGGAATAACGAGTGATACATCCTCCAAAATTATTTTCTTCATTCCATCAGAGATATCATTTTCTTCCTTCCTATTACACATAGACAAGCGGTCAATTCCTAAACAGAAACACATATAACAAAGCACTAACATAATGATTATACTTACAACCATTATTATATGGTATCCTTCTGACGTTCGCACAGGTTCAGGAGTATATATCGGTGAATCTAGCGAATAACTGAATAAACAGCCCGTTTTTTTTTACTCTTAACAAGGACGTCATCTAAATTACGAATTGTAACTTACCAACCGTACTTGTTGGTAAGTTGAATGCAGCTTTCTCAAATTCTTGTAACAATGTTCCACGCATACGCCAGCCAAGATCACCTATGACAACGAAGCGTCCAAAGTTATTTTCCCTCTGATGATTATCCGCGCAAAAAAAGTTGTATCAATCGACGATAACCGTTCTACACATGCCTCCTTGTCTTGCTTTGTCTTCGCTGTATTCCGCAGCTACTTTGTCAAAGCGTTCGCTCTCTTTTAATTTTTGTAATGCTTCCAGAGCCTGATTGGAATCGATGCGTAGTAATTAATGAGCTAAGCGAATCGTTGACTGCCTGCCTTCAATCGTTTATCTGTCAAACCAAATTTTACCTTCGAGTGTTTCTCACAGAGAATATGCCGAACCTATCATAACAGGATTAGCACCAAATATGCAGGACTAGCTTTATTTTACAATTCTAGTCTAATGCTTGCGAAAGAAACATACTCACCTTGATCGTATTACCCTTCAATTTACTGTCCTTACTATCGTCTAATATTGGTAGAAATACGGATATGCGTGTATCAATACCAAAACATTCGATATGTTTGACTTTCACCTTCCTTGCCACGTTCAACTTACCTTTTCCACTCTCTTGCGCCTTTCCTCCTTTTTTCTTATTTCCTCCCTTATCCTTACTACCTTTATCCTTACTGCCTTTATCCTTACTGCCTTTATCCTTACTTCCCGAATCCTTCCCTTTGGTCTTTACCATATTATTATTAACTTAAATGTGTAAAGATAACTTTTTTTCGAAACACTTTAATCGATCTGCCAACAGCCAATTGAAATGAAGGAAAACTACTGAATGGTGGCGCGTGCGAATTTCGTAACAATCGTTCCCTGCATAAATGCATTTTCTTAATGAGGCTGTCAGCTAGCATTAGACCCAAAATTAACCAAGACATAGGAGCAGAAGGATGATGACCGCTGCTATAAGTCATTAGTATCGTCTTTACTAATGAGCGACATACAATTTATTCACAGAATCGATTATAATAAATAGGGCATTTCTTATTACCTGCTAGTCATTGTCACCACATGTTTGTTTCAAAGACTCTGGACTGGATTATCAACAATTTACTTGCACTCCTACTGATCTTGTTATGGTATATGTGTAGATAATAATCACAAAACGATACATGACGTTCTAGCGGCTTTGCGACGTATAGTTGTACGATGAATTTCACATAATAATCATACTTTAATATTCTGTGTCAATTTTTTGCACACACATCGACAACAGTTATAATTAACAAATATATGAATTCCACGAGCATTGAGTGATTGACGACGAAGATCGATTTCGCGTTTTCGAAAAATGTTACATGCAAACTCTTAATATTTTATACACGCGTTAGGGATAATAATGATGATAATTTGTATATTATAATGCATAACACTAGAGGGTACTAGGAGTGGGGAAATCGTCAATACTCACTGCATAATCCATGGATACTCCCAAATATTGCGCCTATAAAAATCAATAGGTATTATCTATAATAATAACAAAGACTTCAAGACTTTGACTTACAAAGCTTCTAGTATGGCATGTGCCGCATAATCCTGCAGCCTGACCTCAACGGATTCGTCACCCACACCCGTTGGAATAGTGACAGGTCTGATTATATTAACCGCATCATAATTGGATGAATTGCGGCAGTTATTCATCAGTTCCTGATACATTATACGTATAGCGCCGTGAGTATTTAAAGACGCATATCCGTCGGGTGGATTAAGACACTCCGCGCCTTGATTCTCGGCAAGCATCTTAAACCAAAAATTGTCCGATCCACTCATATCGAAAACCTCACATGCAATGGATCGTAGGGGATTGACGTTGTAGCTGCCCAAGCTTTCCATATTCAGTATATAATTAAAGGTTGAGGGCCAGCACGTTCGGCCTCATCCTCCGCAATCAGAATATACATTTCCTATAAAATTGTTTATTTATTATTACAATATTATTCTTTGTAAAATAAAGAGGACAATCAGTTTAAAATCTTACTACTTAATAAATGATCAATTCTTAATGATAACAGTTTAATTTATTGATACTCACTGTAATATACGGGTCCTCAGTCCGGTTTATAATCTCCGCAAATCTTAATCTAGGCTAAAGTATATAAATTAATTAATAGGATATGGTGTTTAAGATATGTCATGGTTCGCAAAAGAAAAGTTACTCTCTCACTTAACCCGAGGGTACCATCATGATAACAAGGAGCGCGGCATGGATCCAAACCGACAATAAAATCATATCACCATTTCCCAGTTCATCATTTCAATACAAGTTTATAAAAATAAAAAACTTACAGAATTCATCCTGTTAAGGTCCTTATTGAGAGTCTTAAGTTCGGCAACCTATTCTCTGCCCATCCAATGGCAGCCTCTACTTCTGCGGTAAAATTTTCTAGCATTTCAGTGCCACCGTTTAACCGCGCTTTGTCACTATGGACCTTGCTAATGAAATAGTTTGACATGTTTAGTTTTTTAATAAAATAAATTTGGTTGTTGCGATAAATTCTTGTTCAGGTCCGTCAATATGTGAAGACTGTTTTTTTAAGGCCTGTTAACTGTGGGAAGAAGGAAAGGCTTTTTCTTTTTTTTTTTCGTTGTTGTACATACTTAATACTGTATTTAAGAAATTTTGAGTTCTATTTTTAAGCACATCAACTCTCGTTTATTGTACTCAACTACAGTACTTAATATGTAGCATTGAGATTTTGACTGGCGGCAGAGGTAATACAGTAGTCACGCTCCTGCAACAAAACTTGAAAAATAGATCATCTTTTAGCATCAAGATTGCTCGCTCTTTTGAATCGTGAAAAGAGTGTTATGGTTTTTAGAATTAGATCCCTTCGCTCCTTAGGTAGTAGTAATATTAACGTCGGCTTATTACAACGGAAACATCAAGTGTGTATCATCTAAGCATTTATCAATTACAAAATTGATCACTTTTTGTCGTCAGCCATCACCGTTTTCTCATTCGTCTCTTCATTGTTCTACCAAGTACGTTTCAAAAATGGCGTCCTTTTCAGCCTCTGCTGCTAATCGCACACCTTACCCAGTCGACACGTCCGTGGGTCCCATGTTACGTTATCAGAAATCTCTTCCCAGTCTTCCCGTCCCTCCACTTTCGGCGACTCTCGACAAATATTTGCAATCCGTTAAACCATTATGTACGTCAGAAGAATATGCAAAAACCGAAGCAGTAGTTGACGAATTTCGCAAACCGGGTGGTATGGGCGAGGCGCTTTACAAGAGATTACTAGACAAGGCCAACACTCCTGGAGTAGTGAATTGGTTGGAAGATTGGTGGAATGATGTGGCATACTTTGGTTACCGGGATCCCGTAGTTGTCTATGTGAGTTATTTTTATTCTTATAAAGATGATCCAAAGCGAAAGGATCCTGCCAAGAGGGCGGCTGCTATTGCTACGGCTGCATTGGAGTTTAGAAAGCTGGTTAACACGTGAGTATTTATAGAATTGATGTATCAATGCGTGTTTCGGAAACGAGCATTGGGCAATAGTAGCATGGCTAAAGTGAGCGAAACATGACTCGTACGGCTTTTAATACTAAATGTGTTATACCAATGACCCACGTACTTTTCTCTACCCCCTCACCCAAAATCTAGCCAACAGCTAGAACCAGAATACGCCAAAAACCTTCCTATTTGCATGGACAGCTACAAATGGATGTTTAACGCATGCCGATACCCCGCGAAACCTTCCGATTACGGGAAGACTTTTGATCCGGATAAGAACAACCACGTTGTTGTGATCAGAAATAACAAATTTTTTATCGTTGATCTAGTTGTGGATGGACAGCAGTTGTCTACTGCTGAAATTGAGAGGTGAGAAGGCATAAGATAGATAAGTTTTTTTTTTGTATAGGTACCGATGAGAAAAGGGAGAGACTAGAATGAAATGAAAACACGCGAAAAAAAGATGAAACAATTGCAAACTATTTAGCATCATACACGCAAATACGGAAATACAGTAATTTATAATAGAGCATCTGTATCGCATTTTCATGATTTATCCAACCAGCCAGATCCAAAAAGTCTATACCCAAGCCGGCTACTCCAAAGATCCCCCAATTGGTGCATTGACGACCGAGAACCGTGATAACTGGACGGATTATCGATCGTTGCTGCTTTCTATTGATCCCAAGCACGCAGCAAACCTGGAAAAAATCGAAAGTTCAGCCTTTGCCATATGTCTAGACGATTCGACACCGGTCACGAGAGATGAACTAAGTTACGCGTGCTGGGCAGGAGATGGAAGAAACAGGTTCTTTGATAAAAGTTTACAGTTCATCATTTTCGATAATGGAAAGGCTGGTTTCAATGGAGAGGTAATGAAAGGAAACAGAAGCAAAAGAAATGGGCTGGGTTGAAGGAAGAAACTTTAAAGTTTAAGTTAGGTTGTTAAGCCTGCATAGCTAAACTGTATTCGATTTTTATAAATAGCACTCCTCGATGGACGGCACCCCAACCTGCCGGCTAAACGATTACGTCTGCTCAGTCCTCTATAATGACAAAATCTCTCACGGCTCTCCGACAGTTCGTCCAAACCTTCCCACCCCAAGCCAACTTCACTTTACGTTCACGCCCGCTTTAGTTACAGCCATCCGTTCTGCCGAATGTAATTTCGATAGACTAGTCTCCGAGCACGACCTTCGCGTTTGCGCGTATGAAGAATATGGGAAGAACACGATTAAGAAGTTGAAGTTATCTCCGGACGCATATGCCCAGATGGTGATACAACTTGCGTATTATAAGATGTATGGGACAGTTAGGGCGACATATGAAAGTGCTCAGACGAGGAAGTTTCAGCATGGAAGGACAGAAGTGTGCCGAACTACATCGGTAGATTCGGCTAGGTGGGTTAAGGCTATGGAGAATCCAGATGTGCCGGTGAGTTGGTTGGTAAAACGAAATGAAGTCTGACAGATACTTTGAGGGCTCCAATGAATCAATTATTGTAAAACTTATTCACCAAATTTTTGCCAATATAGATCGAAGAAAAGGCGGCCTTGGGTCGTAAGGCAATTGCGGCACACGTGAAGTACATGTCCGAAGCTGTTGAAGGATTTGGATGTGATCGGCTATTATTCGGTAAGGGAACAAACAGGCTCCGTAACTAGTTAATCACGCGACCCAAAAAAAAAAAAACAAACAAATCAAGCGTATGAAGTACGATCCCGCATTTTAAATCTATCAACTTCACGATGATCATGTTTGATACAATTTCCAAGTGCGGGATGTGGTTCATGTGTCGCGGAACCAATACTTTTCGATCTGTCATTCGTCTTTTCCGTTTCGATTTCCGGTTTTATTCATTGATCATTTTATAGGTCTTCGAATGTTACTGAAACCCGACGAACCCAAACCATCAATCTTCACGGATCCCACCTATGCCAAGTCCACTCACTGGAACCTTTCTACCTCGCAACTTTCTTCCGAACACTTTATTGGCTATGGGTGGGGAGAAGTGGTGCCTGATGGTTACGGAATTGCATACATGATCAATAACAATTGGATGAATTTCAACATCGTGAGTAAACATTTAAAGAACGATCACATGTGGCACTATCTGAGAGAATCGGCAAAAGAAATGAGGGAGGTGTTTGAATATGCTTTGGCTAAGGAAGGGAAGGCTGAGGCTAAGTTGTAGTTGTGTTGTTGCTATTGAGGACGTACGGGTTTGGACGTTTTAGTTATAGATTGAATAAAGTTTATTTATCGATACGCGAAGTAATATGCACTCTTAATATTATAATTAATTAAGTTAATGAGTTAAAGTACAATGTATATTACAGCATTATAAAATTTGTGTTAAAGAACGCTGCGCCCATACCGAATACATTCTCGGTTAAAGACAATGCAATGGAATATTTTCTCACACAGTAACAGTTGGAACCTCGGAACACATAACCTAAATGTCAATGCAAAATGCTTACTCTTGCTATTACGATAAAATCATATGTTGGCTGATCGTTATGCGAAGCCCCTGATCGTCGACTCTTCGACCATTGGTTTAATGCTTCACGTAAGCAAGAGAGAATGTTGTTCTAACACACGCTTCTGGAAGGATATTTTCCAAGATTTTTAGATTAAACGTGTTTGTGGTCATATTTCTGATCTGGACAAATATGGAAACACTCGTACAGCAAGGGGTGCATTTATTATGTGATCGATCGCGTGGTTTTAATTTTGCTGCTAATCCGAATCAAGAAAAAAGGGGGGTCGCGTGGTCACAGGGGAAACAGACAGATTGGCTGGTCGAGTGAACACATCCAACTAGTGCATCTAACATATATCTGTCTGCTATATTGTCTCTCACCTACGCAACTGTTCGTTCTGATATCGAAATTTGTATACATCGGAGGGATTTGGGGCGGCTTTGTATTGCAATAGACAAAGAATAGCTAGCGACTATTGGGCAAGGATAAACAATAAGGGACTATAGCTAACGATAATAATAAGTGATTTAACTCGCCCCTCTTCCCGTCCTATTTCGTGGATGGCTGTGCACGGATATAATTGGCAATGGCCTGGGGGGATATGATGGATGGATAAATTGTTATGTGGTTTATGCGATAAACTGATTGCTATTAATACACAAACTGCTGGCATTCTTCTCTCGCTTATTAATAGTAAGCATAATGGTTTTATCATGAAATATCGCGACAATCGCCCAGCATATGACGCAAAAAAGAATGGGTTAACTGAATAAAGTTAAAAAGTGAGTTGGCTATCGAATTAACGTTTGAACTCCTAGTCATATGACAGGATCAGTCATGAGAACAAACTACTTTATCGATAATGCATAACAATAATGTGATACAATGAATACAACAATTAATGTTGAATACTAATGTTATTTTTATTGATTGTGTATTTTACAGAATCGGTTATATATATAGACACTCTTTTCTCCACTAGCTCTGCAAGGGAGAGCGTGTTCAAAGAGTCGCTAATAATCGGTCAGCAATAGATCTATCAAGAAATTTAAAGAGACCTTCTATAAATTATTAGAACATACTAATTAATAGACAAACACACATGAAACGACCCTCGCTCTCTGCGTTCCTGCTTCTCTGTATTTCCCTCTCTCCCAACGTCCTCCTTTCTCATTCACACCGCATTCGCCTTCCCAACTATGGTGCAGACCTCCCTCAACAAAGATATGACTCCCTCCCAGTTCACGAGTATGTCTATTCCTCCTCTCGCACAACAAACCCAACCAGTATAGCAGAAGAGTATGCCCGAAAACATTTGAGTGCAGCCGACCTAGTGACTAAGAATGCGTATAAATCGGAGCATAATGGGGTTACGCACGTTTACATGAGGCAGATTGCTAATGGATTGGAGATTGTTAATGGAGATATTAATGTAAATGTTGATGATCAAGGAAGAATTATAAGTTACGGAACTTCGGGTTATGGAATTCCCTCTTATCAAAAGAATACGATTTGTACACATTCCTGTCATATGAACATTACAACTGATAACCGTATTAAAGACGAGGAAAACACAAACCAATTTGTCATTGGATCGAAAAGAAGACGTTCCTCTAACACGGCCAGATACAACCGCGGACCTTGCCATAACCAGAGGCCCTACAACGTTGGTCGCCATATTCGTGATTATGGTCATATGCCGAGGTTAACGCCTGTCGAAGCATTGCAACGTTTCGCACAACACATTAATCTCGAAATTGTCAGACCCTCGACAATAACAACTAAAAGTTCTTTCGATTCCTCACCTGTATACCAACTCTCCAACGTCCCATTTGCCCTCTCGGATGTAATAATAAAAGAAGCTTACATTGCCGTGTCTGCATACACCCTTGAACCCGTATGGGACCTCACGTGGGAAATGGAAGAAAACTGGTATCATGCTCAGATAAATATGTACAGTGGAAGAATCCATGCCATCATGGACTGGGTATCTGATGCAATGTATACTATCTATCCATTAGGACTAAATGATCCATCCGAAGGAGATCGTAAAACTGTCATCGATCCACATGATATCATATCATCTCCTGGTGGTTGGCATACACAGGGCAAAGTCAATTATACCTCTACCATTGGAAATAATGTTTATGCTCATGAGAATTTGGCCGGAAACTGGGAGTGGAAAGACAATTATCGACCAGAAGGTGGTCCTGATCTGGTGTTTGATTTCCCTCTGAATCTGACAGACAGGCCCAAGGATTACATTGACTCGAGTGTTACTAACCTATTCTATTGGAATAACATGGTAAGAAAATGCTGTGGCTGATGAATAATAGTTGCTGATTAATCAACACCCTATTTGTTTACCTGTGTGCTTTGTTTGTTTGCTTGCGTCTTTGCTTGCGTTTCCTTTATTTTAAAATGTCATCACTTTTTATCATTTTAATCCATATTAGATTCACGACCTCTTCTATCGCTATGGCTTTAATGAAGTGGCAGGTAATTTCCAACAGACTAACCATGGAAAAGGAGGAAAAGAAAAAGATGCCGTCATCGCTAATGCGCAGGATGGATCAGGGTAAGTTCACGTGATATGGAATTATGTTTATAGCTGTGTCACGTTGATGTACATATTACATCATCTGTTGCATCATAATCTACTTCAATCTTATGCACGTGTTGCACCTATGCATATTCGACATGTCTTCGCATATCTGTGATACTGTCTCCCTTACCCCCCCTCTTTGCAACATACGTATTTACAGCTCTTTGTCTTTTTGTCCATTTGAACAGTTATAACAATGCAAACTTCGCAACTCCACCCGATGGTCAACACGGTAAAATGCGTATGTACGTGTGGGATGTTGTTAAACCATGGAGAGATGGTGATCTCGAGTCTGGAATTGTTGTAAGTTTATCAAACAGGGGAAGGAGTTTTGTATTGTAGTACCAGTATTGTGTGCATAAGATAACGGGATCATACCGAAAATAACCAGATTTAACCCGTTCCTTTCCAAATCTCAATTAGATCCATGAATACAGTCACGGAATTTCAACTCGTCTAACTGGAGGCCCGGCTAACAGTGGATGTCTCGGATGGGGTGAATCTGGTGGTATGGGAGAAGGCTGGGGTGATTTCTTCGCCACGATATTACGTGTCAAGCCATCTATGGATCGTACTGTTGAGTTTGGCATGGGCGATTGGGCCAATGGTGGAGAAGGGATTAGGAGATATAAGGTGAGTGATTGTTTTGTGGGATTTGAGAGAAAACGAGTTTCCGTTAAAAGTAATCTATAAAATGAAAATGGAGAACGAAAAGTATCTGGGGAAAAGTGTGCAAGCTGTATAAAGATCAAGGTCATATCCTAATTTTAATTTTTAAACTCCCTTCAATTTGGACAGTATTCGACATCGATAAAGACAAATCCCGAGACGTTTATTTGGTTGGGCAAACCTGGATACTGGGGCGTTCATGCGAAAGGGTAAGCAACAGCTATAGGTAGTGCATAGTGAATCTTTAGTTGACATCAAAATTTTATAAACTCACCTCTATTATTTTTCCGTTTACATCAACAGCGCTGTTTGGGCAAACATGCTATATGAAGTATTCTGGAACCTAGTTGACAAGCATGGTTTTACCACGCAATGGTTCCCCCCAACATCCACAGATTCTGATGATCTTCTCTCGTGGTACACATTCTCGCCTTCCTCGACAACACACAAATACCCCAAGCACGGAAATACACTGATACTTCAACTCGTCCTCGATGGAATGAAGCTACAACCCTGCCGCCCAACATTTATTAATGCGCGTGATGCGATATTACAAGCGGATAAAGTGTTAACCGGTGGTGAGAACAGCTGTGAGATTTGGAAAGCTTTTGCGAAAAGAGGTTTAGGTACCAAGGCGAAGATCGTAGGCGGAACGCCATGGGGTGGTGGTGAAAGAAAGGAGAGTTATCAAATTCCGAAACAATGTAGTGAAGATGATTATTACTATTATGATTATAGTGAATTGAATTAAGAGAGAAACAATGGTGTGTGTTATAGAAGAGTAAGGGTTTATGAGGAAGTTTTTTCTAAGGTCCAGTCCACGAAATATATTTATTAGCCTCTTAATTGGTTAGTTGATGACGAAGGTACGGGTAATAACTTTCTTCGTCTGTAAATGCTTTCCTCATAGCGAATTACTTTTATACTCTTGTGTATAAATTATAAATATTCCATCAGATTGTGAAATATATCATACGACTGGTTGAGATGAATGTACAGGGAATGTAGATATTGACTACAGCATTTTAATAATCACGCACATATACTCAAGCTACGTAATCGCGTTAAAAGCATTATTCATAAGTTCTAAACCTCCATCGTGCATCCAGCATTTTATTGGTTTCGCGTGACTCGATAGAAAAGCCACAGGCTGTTTTCCATGGTATCTGTGTAACTCATAATTTAGTGTTTGTATTTCCATATTAATATTCAGTATTGAACGTGAATGACCAAAAGATTGAAAGCGTGTACAATTACATGATTGTCACACCTCATTATCGCAATGTCCAAAGAAGCTATTTAAAACAAGGCCTCGATGTGTTAAACAACAAAGCATAGCGAACTAGCAAACTGGTTGAATAAGTAGTTCATAGAGTATCTACTGTTAACAATCAAAGCATCAACACTTACTTTGGGAGAGAGTTGATTTTCCTTATGGCATATTCTAATAATATATTTTAATCACATGACCATATTGCTTCACTAATGTAACGTTCACCACTCATCGTTTGTCCTACTATACGTCACGAAAAATTGGTCACATGTGTAAAATAGGATATTTAATAAAGCAACAAAGTTTTTTTGAAGGGAAACAAAAATTTTGACTACCGTAAAATAAACACATCAAACAATGTATCATTAACTGAAGCTCTCTTGGATACTTGTTGGGGATAAATGTAGACTGGTTGATCAGCAAAAGTTATTATGGCGCAATAAGGATTAACGCACTTGTTCCCATCAGTTTACCCAACCTCCAACAAAAGCATAAATTGCAAAGGGTTCTTATCAATGACGCCGCGATTATGACGTTTCTTCTAAAAAAGAAAGGTTCTTTCGGTTTTATACAAGACGAAATATAATGAAAACGTTTACTGATGTAAACACTCGTATCAAAGTCTTCCGAATATGGTGCAGTGACTTTGTAACTTTTAAGTACCACATTAAAAGTGAGAAGCAAAACTTTTCACACTAAAGGATCTATTTGCAGGATACCGTAAGTACTACTAATTTCTTTTAATCTATAAATAATTATCCCGCAAGTGCTGTGCTACGGCTAGCGCGTTTTCTTTCACATACAAGAGATGATCTCTGTCACGGCTTGATTGGTTTCTTACAGCCATCAATGATAGGCTTCTGCCAAAGTCGAACTGTCATACAAAAAATGGCATTCATGAATATTTTGAACCTTGAGTGACATAATATTGGGAATACGAGTCTAAAATAATATTTTCGAGACACTAATCGCGTGGTACAACCGTTTTTCTATATAATTATGGTCGCTCTCCTAGCTGGATCCCCGTTTTTCCAATTGTCTTGTTCTCTGTGAAAATGGACTCTACTATTGATCAAGAAGTACTCGATAAATTGAAAGAAGAGAGGATTGAAGAAATGTACACGTATATATTTGGCAGATGTCCGCAATGTCATAAAGTCAATGTTAAGAGCGCATGGTGTGATGAGTGCGATATTTCTTCTCTCGTGGCGGAATTTGATAAGTGGACTAGCGGAAATGATGAGATCGATCGTTTTATTCAGGAAAATCAGCGCCATACCGAAAATCATAATACATACATTGAGTGGATTCCGTTCAATAGGTTGGAAGATGTAAAAATGACAACCGGCGAGTATCCCTATTCAGCGAAATGGCTTGCACTGGAAAAACTGACAACCGACCGGTATAGCTATTCAGCGAAATGGATGGATGGTCTTCGATATTTTGAAAAAGTTGGAAGGTCGACTTTTGCAAAGCGGAGAACTGCTCCTGTTTATGTTTACCTTATGAAGATTAATGAATTCCAAGACATAAGTGAAAGGACTAAAGTAATTGCTGCGTACTTATCTGAATCATAATTTGTTGTTACCATAATAACAAATTTAACTGGTTTTTGTAATCTTTCTAATACAGGAAGTAATAGATCCTTTCTTTGGTATCACCCGCATGCCTAACACTGACGATTACTTTACAGTACATTGTGTGCATTATTGTACCTTCCGGGACTATCTAGTTTGTTCAAGATGTAATTATATGAATACAGGACATGAATTCTGTAATAAATGCGACGGTATGCTATTAAAGGATGAATTTGATAAATGGACATCTGGAAATAAAGATGTTGATGAGCTTATACAACAGAGTCAATTTGAGACTCCTAATTATTGGGCTTATTTGGAATGGATTCCATATGATGACTTGGAATTTGAACAACAAGATGAGAGGCATAACGGGAGAACATTGTCGGCAATATGGAAGACAGGATTTAGACATTTGCATTCGACGGAAGAAGGATGGATAAAGAAAAGACTTGCCAGATCGGAAGTGTTAGTAAGGGAAATAGAGAACATACGTATAATTGTAAGTTAATTATTATCGTTTATGTAACTGATCGATATTTTATTAATTAAATTCAATCGTCATTTAGTACGAGCAAGTGGATAGGGGTGAAGTGCCCTGGTTCGAATTCGAAGATCAACGAATTCATTGCTATGGCTTGTCTTTGCAACCACAAACCAACAAAATCCTCATGGTTTTTACTGATCAGACTGTATACTTTAGGTTGCCTCAAAAGGGTTTATGTCCTGAATGTAGTTCTATATATACGAACAACGGCTGGTGCCTGCCATGTAATGCGCGGCTAGCAAAAGCTGAGTTTAAGAACTGGACTAGTGGTAACCAGGCATTGGACGAAATCATCAGAGACACTCAGTTGAAAGCAGTAGCTCGCAATCATTATATGGAATGGATACCCATAGAAGATCTTAAGAATATCAAAGAGATTGGATCTGGTGGATTTGCAACAGTATATTCAGCAACTTGGATCACTGGATTTCCGTTGGTGGAGCAGGATCATCACCAGTTTTATTTCAAATATCGTTCATATCCCGGTCTAGTGGCACTTAAAAGAATTCATAATTCGAGCGAAATGCCAGATTCACTTTTAAATGAGGTAAATACAATATGCAGTATAACAACATATACTAAATTAATGAATTCATTACTGACTCGATGACACACCGTTCCTTACATTAACAGGTAAAGGCTCTCTGGGAGATGTACTGTTTTGACCATAAAGAGAATTTTATGAGACGCGTTTCCACGACTTTTATTCACATTTATGGAATGTCTCGGGATCCTGAGACCAAAGACTACATAATGGTCCTCAAATATTTTTCAGACGGTTCTCTAAGATCAAATCTGGCGAAAATTTACAAAACCATGAATTGGCGTCATAGGATTAATGTGCTTAGTAAGGTATCTCAGAACCTTGATCTTATACATAGAGCCGGTATGATTCACAGGGATGTGCACTCCGGAAATGTATTATTTGATGGATACATGGGGTCGCTGGGAGATTTTGGATTAAGTTATCCGGCAGGAGCCCCGAGAGATCTCACAAAGAGATATGGAGTTTTGTCTTACATAGCTCCAGAAGTATTACGAAATGAACCATACACGAAAGCATCCGATATTTACAGTTTCGGTATGATACTTTGGGAAGTATGTCATGGCAAGCCTGTATATGCAAATGTACCATTTAATATCGCGTTAGCTCTGAGGATATGTAGCGGAGAAAGGCCAATTATTAGCAGAAAGGTGCCAAACTGTTTGCGCGAGTTAATGGAAAGATGTTGGCATGACGATCCGCTTATGCGACCCAATGGTCAACAGTTATATCGGAGCATTCTCGACTGCTTGCTCGTGGTTAATGACTTACCAGAACCTGATCATGACATCAATGAAGTGACTGAAACGTACCCGAGCGAGGGACCAAGTGATGCTAACTACGATACGCCCAAATTTACAAGCAAATGTTTACCTGTTGTTGATGACGAACTTCTTGTTGATTATAAAAGTCGTCAGGTTGATATGACATTGGAAATGAACGATTTCAATGTATAACAGAATGCGATAAATAAATGAAAAGCTATTGACAAGTTGAATATTTATTGGCAAAAGCAAAATCGCAACCAAAAACGACATGAATCATTTACAATTAAATTTGAGTGTGCATGAATTGAATATATAAAAACTAATTACAATATTAAAATTTTCGCTTCCTCCTAATCAAGAACCTCATCCGCATCATTATCCATACTATCTATTGCCATTTCTTCTCCTGTATTACCGGCATGGTTTTTCATTATTTCGATATCAGATCCATCTGCTTTAACCAGGATCCTTGCTACTTCTCCGTTTCTAATACTACCGTCTAGAAACAAATGATGGTTGTGTTAGTCTTCGTGTTTTCTTGCGTCATCATGTATTTCTTTATATAACCATCAAATGCCTACTTACCAAGAATCATTCTACTCAATTGATTTAAGATTTTATGCTTAATCAACCTATGTATTGGTCTTGCACCATATACCGGATCATATCCATTCTCCGCCATCCAATCAACTGCTTCTGGAGAAGCAACGAGGGCAATCTGCCTATCTTGAAGGCGCTCGTTTATCTGATTCATTAGTATTTGTACGATCTTGTGTACGTCTAAAAATAAGCAAGCATGTTAGTTATTCGAACCGTGTTAGTCGGTTTAAACAGCAAACATCGTCTTAGACACTTACGTTGACGTCCAAGTGGAGTAAATATTATAATGTCATCAAGACGGTTGAGGAACTCGGGACGAAAATGACGTTTAACATCACTCATCACTGCCTCTTTTACAGAGTCGTCAGTTATATGGGACTCAAGTCCTTGCAAATGGTAAGAACCTAAATTACTAGATATAGCAACACATATTCCATTAACGAACGATTCAAACATTCAAAGTAATGCATATTTTGCAGAATTACATTATGATGACATACCTTGTCATGATAATAACCGTATTACTGAAATCAACAACTCTGCCCTGTCCATCAGTTAATCTACCATCATCGAGCACTTGAAGCAAAATGTTTAATACTTGTGTGTGGGCTTTTTCAACTTCGTCAAATAACACTACACTATATGGACGACGCCTGACAGCTTCAGTGAGTTGACCGCCCTCGTCATGTCCAACATAACCAGGTGGGGCTCCGATCAAACGAGCAACCGAATGACTACAAAAAATGACAATAAAGTATTAGAACTATTAAAATTTATGTGATTCAGTACTATTCACACAATCAATGAGCTTTGCATTTACTTACCTCTCCATGTACTCGGACATATCAATTCGAATGATATATTTCTCATCATCGAATAGTTCTTGCGCAAGTGCCTTACTGAGTTCAGTCTTACCAACACCAGTAGGTCCGAGGAACAAGAAACTACCAACTGGCTGATGCTCTCTTGCTAGACCGGCCCTACTTCTTATCACAGCATCAGCGACTGCTTGTACAGCTTCATCTTGTCCAACGACACGTTTATGCAAACTCTCAGCTAATGATAGAAGTCTTTCCGCCTGACTCTTTGAGAGTCTTGATACAGGGATTCCTGTCCATCTGGAAATAACCTCCGTAATCTGTTCTGGCCCAACCACATCTGTGAAGAGCAGTTCGGAATCGACACGTCTCTGATCTTGTTCAGCCTTCTCCGCTTCGATTCGGGCGATTTCTTTTTCAATTTCAGGGATGGCGTAGTATCTCAAGTCCGCTGCCACAGCAAAGTCTTTGTTTCTTTCTGCATCTTCTGCTTTTGCCTTTACTTCCTCGAGTTTGTACTTTAGATCTCTTAATCTATCTAAACGTCTCTTTTCCTCCTCATATTTGGCTTTGAGCGGTAACAGTTCGTCATTAATTGCACTGATTTGCCGTTTCACCTCTTTTAATCTTTTCTTACTCGCCTCATCTTTTTCTTTAGAAAGTGCAGTAGCTTCAACTTCGAGTTGTAGCAAGCGCCGTTCCAATTGATCTATTTTTTCGGGCCTTGAATCTAGCTGTACTCTGGTATTAGCACATGCCTCATCCACTAGATCAATCGCCTTGTCGGGTAAGAATCTGTTGGTGATGTAGCGTGCTGACAGTTGGGCTGCGGCAACAAGTGCTGCATCAGCGATTTTTACACCGTGATGAGTCTCGTATCTCTCCTTTAATCCACGCAGCATACTAATAGTATCCAGTACGGAAGGCTCCCCGACATATACCTGCTGGAATCTTCTCTCAAAGGCTGCATCTTTCTCGACGTATTTACGATATTCGGTTAACGTTGTTGCGCCGATACATCGTAACTCACCACGTGCGAGCATCGGTTTTAATAAATTGGCCGCATCCATTGAACCTTCGGTTTTACCAGCTCCAAGAACAAGATGGATTTCATCGATAAACAGTATAATACCCTCTTGAGAATCTTTCACCTCTTTAAGAAGCGCTTTGAGTCTTTCTTCAAATTCACCACGGTATTTAGCTCCAGCTAGATATAGAAAGACAGGTTATTATTAAACATATCATAGAAATGTATTATTATGTGTAAAGATACGTACCAATGAGAGCACCCATATCTAACGAAAATAGTCTAGAATCAAGTATTCTGGGTACATCTTTTCGAAGAATACGTTGAGCCAATCCCTCTACGATAGCTGTCTTGCCGACACCTGGCTCACCAATCAACACAGGATTGTTCTATATAAAAAAAGACCATTATTAATTACGGGTAGTAAAACCAAAAGCCGCCCACCTTCACAATCTAGTAGTTTTTCACGTACCTTCGTGCGGCGAGCAAGAACTCGTATTACACGGCGAATTTCGTCATCTCGACCAATGACGGGATCGAGTTTACCATTCTTGGCTTGTTCGACGAGATCGATTGCATACTTGTTAAGGGCTTCGTAATTCTCATCTGCACTTTTCGTTTCCACGCGACGATTGCTTTAACAAAAACATTAAATTGGGTTAATAAGCTAATTTCATGCAAGCGCTCTTTGGATATCTTGAACGCGTATGGACCAAAAAAGAAAAGAAGAAAAGAAAAGCCACATACCCTCTAACTTGTTTAATTGCAATTTCAATCGTCTTTTTGCTGACTCCCGCTTCATTCAGCGCATTTTCGCACTGCTTATCTTCAAACAGTGCCAATATTAAATGATCTTGTGATATATATGCATCTTTTTGGCGTTGTTGAATGTCATGTGCAGCCCGGAGGACTTTTATCGCTTGCGGCGAGAAACCCAAATCCGTAGGGGCAGGATCTTGCACCGGCAATTTTACGAGCAGTTTTTTGAGATTTCGCTCAGCTGCAACAACATCGCCACCAGATTTATTGATTAAAGACCTGAACAATGAATCACCGTCGGATTGCTCAACGAGTGCACAAGCAAGGTGCACTGGAGCAACTTGAACATGAGAATATTCGCGAGCAAGGTTTATCGCCGCTTTGACAGTTTCTTCTGTTCTATCCGTGAAGTTAAAGTTGTTCATGATTATTATTATATGATATGTTAGTCGGTAATTGATTTTGAATTAAAAAAATTGTTATGAGGCCATCATTCGATGTCTTTATATATTCGCACAAAACGCCACGGCTCCGTCAGTTTATGAGAATGTTGTAGAGGGAACTAGATTAATTTTGGCATAAATCCAGTTTTGTTGAATTTTATTGGATGATACCGATTCACCTGTTTGTACAACAATCGGGTAGAAATTAATCTAACTAGAAAAGCATAAGCTTGCTTTTCATATACTTAAGTATAAAAACCTTATACGACAAAAAAAAGTCAATGATGCTTTCCATAAATAATTTGTAAAGATCAATAAAAAACTCGATCGACATTTGGCTAGTAATACTAGCATTTAATTTATTGAATAATGTTATAAATATAGCTTATATTAAATGATCGAATAGTAGTTGGGAATCGATAAATATAATAAAGGATATGTCCGTACAAGAACACAGTCGGGACACTCAGATTATATTCTATCATAGAGATGTTCTCTTATAGAATTTATACTCAAGAATGTTACTTATTGTGACCGATTTACTAATTCTATTACATCACCCCTTCTTTTTTGGCAAAAACATCTTCTCGTTCTAACGGTAAAAACCTCTACATGAAAATCTTCCTCAATTAAGTATCTTAACTGATAGAAATAGAAGTTAAAGCTTCGAGAGAAGAGTAAAACCACTGAATATAAAAATCCTCCTTATAATCCTGCACTAGACGGCTTTATACCTGGTATTGTCGTTCTTTTTATTTAAACCGATCGATATACCGCGGATTCTCGATTATCAATTACGCATGGCTATGCCTCTACCTTCTATCGACGAGATTAGTTTCGATAGTCCGTAGGATGTGTCGGGGAGAAATAATTAACAATCGGGACCTGTCTCAGTTCAGAACCCAGTCACTCAGTCCAGAACTCAGTTGTCTCAATTCCAAACCCAGAGTGGTCCCCAATTAAGGTACAACATACCTTCTATCGTTTTACTAACTAACTATCCCATTATAGACTTAAATATTGAAAGATTGAGCTGTATATAAATGACTTAAGTTGGAAGACAAATACATATGTCAGATATAGGCCAAGTCTTCTGCATAATATGAGGGAAACAATATTCTATTTGATAATTCCATAATAAATAGACATATCTCTACGTTGTGTAGTGTTATCTGAGAGAGCATTGTGGTCAAATTTTGACCAGAGGATATTCTCAAAACTTGGCCCTAAATGTAGTCTTACTTACCCGCCCGCATCCACAAAATCGTACAAAGCTCCTATTACTAATATTAATATACAAATTCGCTAAACTATTTAAACAAATGAAATATTAAACCATTAATTGAACTATTTTTGTCTACACCAGCGTCTACGGCCAACTCCTGTAAGCCGACTTATCTGGTTATTTCAGCACAAGAGTATTATTATATTATATAGTAGGCAACTAATAAAATTCTCCAGTAAAAGAGTATATCAATTATCCAATGAGTTTGTTTTAGTAATGATAGACGAGACGTTTAATTAACTTTATTATTGCTGATTGCACTAATATAATACTATTACAAATTATTGAAATGCTCAGTTTTAATCTTGTGATTACGATCTAGTCAACAATAATCTTTGATGTGGTGAGAATTGTCACGTTCTCCTATTACTTGGATTCTTAATAGCGAGGGAAATCAGTAATGAAGCAGCTTTTTCGCCTACGATCCTTTGTATAGGCAAGTTGATTGTGAATCGGCGAAGAGATTATTGATTCTCGTCATTATCCTGGCTTGATTATCGCTGATTTTGCCGTAATAATGAGTGTCGCTTGTATATTTTCAAGACGCTTATTTATTAGATCATTCCATAAGGAACCGGAACGTATAGAAAATGGTGATGTAATAGTAATGGCAGGTTCTTATTACGGACTCTTCCCGTATTAACAGTTTATTATTACATTGAGTTTAGAATAAAATGAAAAGCCGTATATGCTCTCACATTTGAACGTTGAAAAGATCGCCGAGGATGTTTTTATTCTTACTTTTTGACATTTTTTCAATTTGATGTCAGTATTTAAAAAAGATATGATTTTTACGTACATTAATTAGTATTCGACATGGGTAACAACTTGAGCGCTCATCCTTAGGAGGGATAACGGAATTAAAGCAAGTGAACGACCAATAAAACTGTTAGTTCCCATTCGCTCCGTTTGCCTTAAACTTTTCGAATCACATTTGCTCTGTTAAACGCTTCATTATGCTTTATTGTAATGTAATGTAATGTAATGTATCAATATATAATAATAATATCGATTTACACCGAGACTATCAGAAAGTGTTAAATTAGTCTAAATAATTAATGTTCTAATACAAAAATGCAGCAACCAATTTTGATGCAACAGCGAATATCGTGCATTTTTAGAGTTGACTGAGCAGATAATATAGTAAAGGAGTCATTGTCAACACCAAGGAGGATAGTGTAGGTATCCTAATGTTGTTAGAAGTATTAGAGATGTTGCTGCCGCCGCCGCCGGTGGTAGTATTATTAATAGGGCTACCGCTACCACCGCTACTACCGCCAGTGCTAGAACCGCCAGTGCTAGAACCACCAGTGCTAGAACCGCCAGTGCCAGAACCGCCAGTGCCAGAACCGCCAGTGCCAGAACTAGAATTAGTGGGTGTACCAGATCCTCCAGTTGCTCCACCACCAGTTGCTCCACCACCACCAGTACCAGCGCCACACTTATTGCCAGGAATACATTGCATGCCAATGGGACAACATCCACCATCACTATCTTGACATGCGAATTGTCCAGGACTACAAGTGACATTGCCTCCACCACCACCACCAGTTGCTCCACCACCACCTCCAGTTGCTCCACCACCACCTCCAGTTGCTCCACCACCACCACCAGTTGCTCCACCACCTCCTCCAGTTGCTCCACCACCACCTCCAGTTGCTCCACCACCACCTCCTGCAAGATCACATTGGAAATTAGCATTGCAAACGTGGTCGGGAGGACAACAACCATTTCCACAAGGTATATCCGCACTAGTGCAGGGAATTAGGCAACTAGTAGCCGTGCATGTAACGCCTATAGGACAACATCCATTGGCATTAGGACAGGGAGCGTAATTCGCGGATTGACAGCCACCAATGTTTGCTAACATAGAATGGGCAAATAATCCTCCATTTCCATCCCTTATGTCGAGAGTGTAATCTGTAGCCCGTGTTCGAAACGTTGTACCGGAAGCAAGGGCTATACCGCTGAATAAAAGTATGTACGTCAGGCTCTTCATGTTGAAAATTTTAGTGAGGAGAGCTTTGATGATGAGTAAAATGCGAATTTAATGGAATGGGATGTTGGAAGGATATGTTCGACGGCACGGCACGTATTTAACTGCTACATGGAGATCTGCGCCGCAATCGGTTTTTATAAAGAAAACAAACGAATGTAATACCAAGCCGTTTAATTTATTGATCGAATATTCCGGGTAAGCATCTAATTAGTCGACGAAGAAAATATTGTTAATTAATGTGTAGCTCATTCGGGATATTGTTTAGAGACGATATGCGATATGCAACGCATTTATGAAAATCGCCTAATATAGAAATGGGAATTGTGGCTGACATACTTTATTTATGATTGGGTAATAATTAATACCTTATGCCTTAATACAGTAATTAGATAGAGTGCGATCGTCAACTCTTGGCGTAATTGGAGTATTAGATGCAATTGTAACAAACAATAGCAAGAGCAGATTTTACGCATGGATAACCTAATTATTGAATTGTGTCATGTGCTACCCATACACTTATTTGAAGTCTCTTAACGTAATGTCGCACTGCCTGTTCAGCGAAAATTTTGTAAGGGTTTGGGAATTGATTGGTTCCGCATGTTATCCACAGGATATTATGCAGATTACAAATTGCGGAGTTTGCAAAGGGAAAAGGATATTATATCGACTTTGTTATGTATATTTGGCTTTTGCCAAAGCATTGAGACGTTGCTAAACCGTTTCTCCTAACAATCTTGGCCTCTCCATTAATGCTGCGAGCTGTGCAGAAACACTGACAACATTGCATCGCATCGCCATTCGATCGATTAAAGATCCATTACTGTCGAGGTGCCGTAAATCTTCTGTTTGATAGATTTACGTTCAAGTCTAACCAAAAATAAAGATCGGCTTACTTTTTAGCACTAGCTGAACCCTTTACGGAATTACTGAAACGAAAGAACGTAAATTGTGCTACGGGTACATGAAACATTGTCGAAGATTGATCACGTCTGTGGAATTAATTATACACTTGATGAAGTTGTTGGTTCACAATGTTTGCCCCTACATACGTAATATGATCATTGGACTGTATGTGTGCCGTAACTCGACGTATTGCAACTCGAAATTATTGAATCTAGTTTCTTCATCGATAGCAACCATTCATACAGTACGGCTATGTCTTTTAACTGCCAATATTGCGATTAGGGATCCGACAAGGAATACAATATAAAAAATGTAACAAGATAGGTCTATTCGTATTGTGTTTTGACGTAAAGTGCTTTGCGTAATAATTCTAATGGTTAGCTTTGCAATTCTGTGATACACGGTGAAACAAAGGATGTCATTCTTTATTTTTCACGGATTCCTTATATCCAAATTTTCTATCTGCTATACAAATTAAAACAAACTGTTCACGTCTTTATTGTGCTAATTTTAACCATGGATGCAACTTACCCAATATTTACAACAGATAAATGTAACACCGAATAACGTTATTGCCCATTTGTTGCACTAAATTCTGGTATCCCGGCAAAAGTCCAACTTTCCTGTCGGTATGGCACAGCTTCTGCGTCCGATATATTAATATCGAGATTCCGGTATATAGAAATGAGGTGTGTAACGGAAGCATTATAACTATAGAATATATACATTTTTTCGACTACAGCGCATTTATATACCGAGAGCAACTGAGAAGTTTAGAGAATATTCCATCCATTGTGCATAGGCGTCGCATCGTATGCGTTCTTCACGTTACTCCGTGACTTTATAATAAAGACTTGTGGCTTGTAGCCAATCAACATGTGTTGAAACAGAATGCAGACGAGTGTTCTCTAAAGTTTTTTGTCTAGATTCTCTATGTATCAATCCCACATGAATTATTCCGCAGTTGTGCCAACTGATTCTCAAGTTTTTCAGGTCCTTTTAATGCAAGAACATCTTTAGCGTTCAATCGTAGATAATAAAGGAATGCAAACCTTCTCCGGAACTGGTATACAAGAATCGGTCACATCGCACGGTATACAGATTTGACTATCATATGCTCTGTGAATGGTCTCACAAAGGTCTTTGTTCTATACTAATAGCTTTCTACTCAGCATCAGGACTCCATACGTTGATTAATTGATTAATCCAGGTAGACAAGTATCTTTTTATTACAGCCATTACTTGCGGCAAACTAAAAAGGGTAGACTTTCACACGAATGAGAATTTGAGTTGCCGAGGAAATCAACATTCAGAGGCGACTTTATTTAGCTTTGAAATACGCACGTCCCTAGAAACATTCGCCATTCAACTCATAGAAAAGGATCTTGGTTGTATTGTGCAACTATATGTTGCTATCTTCCTCAAACGTTGTACTGTGTCTATTTTGTATTATTAAATTATTTGTCTATTGATACACTCTTATATGGCATACATGGCACATTCTCTTGCTTTCACTTAATCTTTCTGACGCGCGTCATAAATACTACAGTAAAAACCGTATGTTACTGGATCTTTGTATTACAATGCTATTGCATTAGTGTTCAAGGTGATTAGAGTTTTATGAGCAATTAAAGTTCTGCCATTAATCTATTGACATTGCCATAATTGATACATGATCAATTGAGTCCATCCTAATATGGCAACGAACAAACATTTGTGTATAATAATAACAATCTCTAATCTAATAGTTAATTGACGTTTCACAATTATTAAACAAACGAACAAATAATTTCTTTGCTAGAATGCTTGCCATCTTACTAATGGCAGTAACATTCTACATCGACTTGGAGACAACTAATGATGATCATACTGTTTGTCGCCAAATAGCTTGTTGCTTGAGAAGTTCAACTTGAAAAAATTGACGTCATGATTGAGCTATACAAATACTTCAGGTCGTTATTATAAAATTAAACTTCACTTTGACAAGAAAATTTAATTAATTCAGTCGATAGAAACTATTCTAGTATCAGCTGTTATAGCCAAATCCAACATTAGAATAATCCTAGTGAGTGAGTGAATTAAGCGTTGAGAGACCCTCCAAATCAGGGTTTACAGGGAAATACTTAGTGGTCTTATAAGTACAAGAGCTTGTATTTAGATATGGTACTTACACTTGGAGAAATTGCATTAGACAGGTCGCTGTATATTGATATATATGAGAATTCATTGATGCTAATTAGATTAACTATAATAATAATAATAACTCTATTGTCCGTTGTTATTAATTGTATGGTAATCTACAGTACCTTAAAAGGAGAAACAAAAGTTGACGACAAGTATTCTAAATTAAATTGTCTATTGATTGGAACATAAACAAATAAACACTGTTCCCCTGACTATCTCAAAACTACTCTAATTGTATTATTTATATTATGTGGTATGTTGGTAATGTAGTAAATCTAGCAATAATAGAAATACGATGGTAAGCTTGTAATTAGCCAAATACTGAGTTAACACAAGACTGCAATCAATCCACACTGATATCGCGTTCAAGTTTCTTACCGCCAGAAATAGTGATTATCGTCGTCGTTGCAGGAACAAAACTACTTGTTGTTGTGCTAGGCGCCGTACTCTTATTACCGCCATTTCCACCGCCCCTACCATAGCTACCGTCGCTACCACATTGGGACAGAATCCACCATCGATATCTTGACATTTGAACAATCCACTAGCACAAATGCCTCAACTTGTTCCGGCACGGTTACCAATTACGCCGTTACCCCGTAGGCTACATGTGGGATCACCATTGCAAACCTCGTCAGGCTGACAACGGCCCTTGCCACAAGGTATACAATTTGGCAACTGTCAGCCAAGCATTTCACGCCTAAGGGACAACACCCAGCTATTGTCAGGACATAAAGAGCATAACCCGCAGATTGGCAGCCACCAATTTTTTGCCAATACGGTCTGTCATTTGGTTATTGACATTTATATGCGTAGCGTTGGATCCACTTTGTAAACGAGATTGTAAGAACAAGTATTAATGCAAGACTCTTTATTTGTTAGGTAATAAAATTGCGACGTGTTTTGATTCTCTTCTCATGAACGTTTACATTGAACCGCTAGTAGATAAAGCACAAACCACCATAAATGCACATTTCGATCTATCCTCGGAATGCTCTTCTATTCAACAAAGCCAAGAACAATATAATGACAACAAATAAGTACAATGTATATACAAGAAAGAATAGTCAGTTTTAAACGAATAGTTCTTCCACTATATATGTGGAATCGACTGTCTTGAAAATTGTGCCTGCCAATGTCTCGCTTATTTTTGTTGCACTGCTATTGACTTGCGAAATATATCGATTATCAATTAAATAACTTCAATGCTTAATTCACTTCGAAAAGATGTTTAGCTTAATAATCTACGGAAAGTCTTATTTCTTTATTTTTTCTCTGTTGTTATTTGCAATGATGCATAGGAAAATGCTCGCTCTATTCTAATATGTATTGCATTTAGACCATCATTACTGTTCCGCTTGCCGTTAGCAGTTAGCTATAAAAATAATGCACTAATTTGAATGATTTTATAATGTTGAAAAACAGCTAGTCCGAATAATTATTGAGTGTGCCTTTCTGATAAACTAACCTTATACTCGCATATTGGTTTACTAAATATACGTGAAAATACTATTGTCAAAAATATATTTAGCATTTATCCCAAACATCCTAGCCATGTTTTTACAAAGCGACAAATTAATCATGAGGCTCATTATTTTTATTGAGGTTGGTTAATAGAGTTGCCTTCCCTGTCTTACATACAGTCCCCGGCGAAAAGAATGGCGTACACATTTTTTGATGATATGTAAAACTTTATTATTAACTTTATTATTTGAAAGACTTATCAGATTTTATTAGTTGATTAAGATCGTCCCATTCCTGCCTGATTGTGGTAAGAAAAATCTCTTGTGAGATTTTTTTGATCTTTCTCTCCACTTTTCTTTTTAAATGGCCCATACATTTTCAAGTCTGCGTTGTATGAAGGCTATGGAAGAACTCGTCTCGGAAGACGTTCTTCCAAGTCACACTGAACG